AAAGGTAAACAAGAAATATAAAAAAAAAATAATTTAAGTCGATTCTTACTAAGATCAACAAAGAAAAATTTTATTTTAGCTACATTTTATTAAATAGTTACAATTAATATCTATCTATATATATATATGTATATACATAGGACAGAATCACAACATTAAGTGGTAATTCATTTTTATTAATTATCATTAAAATATCGTATTGTCATCCCAAACAATCGTGTATATAAATTTTAGTTCAACTGAATACTTTAACACGTGAGAATAAAACCTTTTCAAGTTTTGACACAAGTCGTCAAAAATGATGCCAACGTGGTTGTGTGTGTGTATTTGTAATTCTTTAAATAATTAGTTTTAATCAATTAATTTTTATTAATTATTATTATATTATTGTATGGTCATCCAATATAAATTTCAGTTCAACTGAATACTTTAACACGTGAGAAAAAAACCTTTTCAACTTTTGATACAAGTCGCCAAAAAGGATACCAAGTTGAAATGTTTGAAAAATTACCGTAAACTTCGACATATAACACAATTTTAACACAAAATTAAGGTGGAAATTTACAGGTGCATGTATTATACGTCTCGGGTATGAAAAAATCAGATCTTAAAAATAAAAAGAAATGAGTATAAAAAATGTTTGACTTCTACAAAGATCGAAATTTGTTTATTTAAAAGAAATGCCATTCCTAATGAACTTAAAGTATTGTAGTTCTAGAAGTATATTGTTTTTTCTTGACCAGCGTTTCTCAAACTGTGGGGCACCCCAGGGACGCGAGCATATCAAAAAGTCGAAATTAAAAGATTCTAAAAAATTGTTAATTTACTGAAAGGAATCACAAAAAAAAAAAAAAATTGTGAGATAGTAAAAAGTACACATTTATAATGACATAATATACTAATAAATGCATCAGTACTGCACAATGTGTACTTGATAATTGATTTAACCATACTAAGTTAGGAACAAGTTTAATAATTACTAGTGACCCCATGGACTTGTACAAAGTTATATGCAAAATTTAATACTTATCGTGATAATTTATACAGTTTATAAATAAAGTCGTATTAGCGTTAACGTACGTTATTATTGAATTCAATACATTGTTATTGTATGGAGGGGGGTGCAATGAAAATTATGATTGAAATTTGGGTCGTGAACATTGAAAGTTTGAGAAGCACTGTTCTAGACTGGTATGGAATTTACTTTTTTTATTACTCTCACAAATCTACACACAGGATAGTTTTTTATATCAGAAATAAATTAATCTTATTTAAGCGACCTAACTGCAGCTTATTCACTTGAAAATTCTATTACGGTGAGACAAAATAAACAAACGAAACCAATGAAAAATTGAATTGTTAACTAATATCAAATAAACGAAAACACAAAGAGATTTCTTTTTGTTTTCAGGGGTCATCCACATAACTACAACGAAATACGAAATCCCTTTAACAATTATATTGGAGTATTTCGATATAATTGCGATACAAGAGAACCTTCATTGAAAATTTCATCTTTTCCATTAATTTTTTTTGCTTAGTTTTCTTTTAATTTTGGCAGTTTTTAGCCCCGGTAATGAAGAAATATGAACTTTATTATCTTATATAAGGTCCTTTGGATGTTTTGATCTGACATCTTTGTGAAAATAGTAAAGATTTCATAAAGCATTCAAATGAAAAAATTTACTTTGTACATGTCTATGATTTTTAAAAGATATTTTGAACAAAAAATATATATTTGTAAACAAGATAATATAATACAATATGATGGATGATGATATAATAAAGATTCTTTTTGAATATTGTGATAATTATGGATAATTTTATGGTTTCAAAATTATATACAGCTATCATTAGTTTAATTCTTAAAGATGAAAATATTAATTATACATAAGCAGATTAATTATCATAATATAACATCAATGTACATGAAATTTATGAAGAAAACTCAAATCTCTTCAAACAAAACAAAGAAAGAATGTTTAATTACTTTTACGTGAAACAAGAAATTTATTTATTAAAAAAAAAGAAAGAGAAATTTATTTATTACATACTGTATTCTGAAGACGGTATAATTTTTTTTAAATAAACAAATAGGAAAAAAAATAAAAGTAATAAAATCATACCAAATAATAGCATTTATAACTGGTTTCACATTGGAGAAAAAACTATAATTGAAAGAAAAAGAAGTCACTATTCTTACATGTTTTACATTCAGCGGGAAAATACAAACATGTACTAAAATACCTCCCCAAACCATATAATGGAATTGCACCAGTTAGAAAACTATTCATTTTTTAATGCATATACTTTTATACATACTAAGATTCCCTAAGTATGAATAAAACTTGAAATGAGAATTATTACCATAATATCCGGTGTATAACTCTCTCAGGTGTATAAAGATCACCTATACCTGCGGCTGCATTTTTTAACTTTAAAGTATATTAACCGTATAATGCTCAGCCCCTTTTTTATGAAGAAACCTGAAATGTGTACTTATGCAATGCTCTTCTGTTTTGAAATCGTTTATTCGAGGTATTATTGCAAGTTTTTGGAAAACTAATAAACTTCTAGAATTATGATCCCTCTTAAGTTCATTTTGTATGTCATTTCTTTTAAGAAAACAGTATTCCGATATATATATAGATGCCTATTTTTTTTAATGTCCATCTCTTTCTTTCAAAGCTATCGTTTTTATACCTGGCGTATAACACGCACCCGTCAACTTCGATAATATTTTTTGTGTTAAAAGTGCGTGTTATACCCCGGATTTTACGGTATTTTGAAACAAAATTGATATACATACAATAGCAACAACAATAGCATTTTAATTTATCTCGGATTATTGCAGTTGTAATTAAAAAAAGGGAATATTCAACTTAACTTTAGTCAACTTATCATAAGGAACAGAACATTTCTTAACATTGCAGTTAATATTTGTTAAACGATGCAATTTCTCAAATGCAAAAATGACTTAATAAACTAAAGGGAGTTGACGTGCCTTTTTGTCAAATTTCAAAGTCATTCCGTTCGAAAAATGGGTTTTAAGCTCATTTTAGAAATTTTTATTTGTACTTATTCTTGTCTACATTTATGTTTAAAATAGAAAATTGTTTCGGATTAGATCATTCAAATATGTGAACAAAAATTAGCTCATATATTTTTCAATTTAAAAAACAACTAATAACACTACAGTGAAAAAAAAAATCTCGTATTTTAAGAAAGATAACACAGATAAATCTCAAACATAAAATTTGTGATGATAAGATGTGTCTTTTATTAATAAAATTAAAAATAGGATTTTTCTTTTATCTTCAAATTAACTATCGGATATATTGAACATATTAATTGTTAGACAAAACTAATATATTTTTTTCACTTTGAATGCAGACTTACCAATAATTGTTACTAATAGATAATAAAAATATTTTTTATTAATAATTTTTAATTCTTATACCAAATATAACAGAGTTTATAGTAGTATCATAATGTCTGGTTTTGTGATCAGCAGGTCATGGTTTTAGTCTATAGCTTCTACCGGCATGCAAAATAATAAAGACAGATTTTTTATCTGTATCGCACTTCGAGCAACACAACACACTTGCAGACATATCTCGAAATTTTTAACCAAGGATAAGTGACGAGGATGACACTTCGACTTTAAACCATGACTTTAAAACCCTCTGCAGGACGAGGTCAAAATATTGCAAATGGCATCCCAGTGCTTAACATTTATCAAATTTCCACATACAGTTATAATTTTGAGGTCCAGTTCTGTTTAACGTGTAGTAGTTTCGAAAACAGGTTCCGACCTCGCTACCCAAGATACCGAATCGACCTTTTCTTCATTTAAAAAAAAAGGGGAGGGTTTCCCAAAACCTTTTTTTTAATTCCCGAAACCTTTCAATGAATTCTGGTTTTTCAGTAGTTCTTTTTTAATAGTTGCAAGTAAATACTATAGCAACCTGTTACGTGACTTCTCGCAATGTGCGCACAGTCCCCCGATGCGCGGGCGTGCTCTCCGCCCAGCGCGTCATAAAACGCTAATTGACTTGACAACTTCTCGAATTCGATTTCCCCGTCCTTTGCCTAATTAATGATTTCCCTCATTAACCCTAACCGGTTTAGAACCGGTTGATTGGGACGCAATTACGTCATTTTAACCGGTGCCGCCTTTATTTATCGTGATTAAGGATCTGGTTAAACGACATAATAGTCCGGCGCGGCGCGTCCGGATAGTCACGATCCAGCACTTGGCGCTCTGACATCTCGCTCTCGATCAAAAACGATTTAATTGGGTGTCTTTGCGGGAGTGCTTCAGAAAAGCCGACCTTACAAGCTGCGCTGCCCCCATCTTATTTAATCAGACGTTATTTTTACAAGGTTCTTTTCTATGTAGAAAGGTTTTGTTCCGGGAAAAATTTCGTTTGTAGGAAGTGTATTTTTATTCAGATTAAAGTAGGAATAAACGTTTTGTTTGTGAGAGGAAATCGCGCCGTTTGGCGATTTTCAAATCAAGATAGAATCGAAATGCCACACAGGAGATTTTAAAGTCGTTTTTACAACCCATTGGAATCGTGTGTGTCTTCGATTTTTGACAAGTATCTTAAATCTTAATGCTTCTTTTTTTGTCGTTAATATGCTATTTAAATCCGACTAGGTTGAAAGAGGTATTTTTAGGTGTTTGATATTTGGGCCATTAAAAAGCAATAATATTAAAAAAAAAATAAAGTCAATTCCTACTTAAGTCAGCAAAGAAAATTTTTATTTTAGTTACTTTTTATTAAATAGTTACAATTAATATAAAAATAGTATATACATAATCACAATATTAAATGACAAAATAGAAAGCGATTTTCCTTGCAATTTTCCATTTTCCTTTCTACACATGGTGTTAGACTATTATTTTTGTTTGTTACTAATTATTAGTTAATTAAACTTAATTATTCCAATAAAATAGTATAGTAAAAAAGAAATCACAGTTTCAGAAACTAGATCATCCCAGGTGGGATGCGAACCCACAACTTTTGGATTGGAAGTCCAACGTGTTACCATTACGTTACAGGGATACAACGAACGATTTTCCTTTTATATATGCTGTTAGACTATTATCTTTATTTGTTACTATTTATTCATTTTTTAATTTTATTAACGAATTAATATTTGAAAAACTGTATTAACATCAAGTGTCTTTCACTATAATTTAAAAAATGTATTTGAACTTGATTGGATGAAAAGAAAGTATTTTAATAACGATTGAAAATTTGAACAAGACCAGTGGCGCACACAAGGGAGGTGGTCCTGGGAGTCCGGACACCCCCAAAGCCCTTGATTTTTTTTCCGATTGGTTATAATTCTAAGTATATAATACGTAAAATTTAATTAAATATTTGTTATTAATGATTAATTTTATTAATTAATGCTAATTATTTATTCAATAATTAATTTTTACTATGTTTTATTCCTGAAAATCGACAAAATCAAAAATAGCATGATACAAGAATGGTGAACTTTCAACCCCGGATACCCCCCCTTGAAAAATTCCTGTGTGCGCTACTGAACAAGACACATATGTAATAATTCCCTCTAGCATCCTTTTAATTAACTCTTTTTAATAATATTTAAATAAGCTTTTAATTTTTCAAAACTAACGCCTTAATCTTAATCGTAATCAATTAGCATTTTTACCTCAGAAATCCCTTTCCCGCCCATTTTAACCCATCAGAGCTCTTATTGCAAAGGAGTCACGCGATCTTCACTGCCGGGTATAAGAAAGCGAGTTTTTCTGTGCTCGCTCTCTTTGTTTGCTTGCCTTCACCATGTAATCGTTGCCGTTTGCTTTTTTGTCTCAGCCTCGTCGACGTAAAAATATACATGTAGCTACAGCTCGTTTATCCTTTATGTCTTTGTGTATTCGTATGCTTATTTTGATGTCGTAACGCCTTTGTTGTTTCATATGAAAATAAAGAGATAAAATGATATCAGATGTTTTCTCCATTTATTCAGAAAAAACCAACACCGGCCAAACGCTCCATATATATATATAGAGAGAGAGAGAATGAACTAATAGTAGGAATTAAATAAATATTGAGGAAGAAAAAATAATATATAAAACTAGAGAGCTTTTTAAGTTGTTTTATAGCTTTTGCTTTATCTAACTTATAAGAATTTTTTTTTAAAATTATGTTTTTTGAAAAATGAAGTTTTTACGATAATTTGCGCACGAAAAACGGGATATCTGCAAAACAATCCAATCAAATTCAATTAAATTTATAACACACATGTTATGAACCCTTTAGAGTGTAACAAACCTCAGGTCTTAAGATAGTTATATTGCAATACATTTTATTGCAATTTTTAGCCTAGAACATACAGTAATTTTGACAAAAAATCATTCACATCAAATTTAAAAGCTTATAAAATATTTATTTCGTAAAATATTTTTTATCCTGCGGCTCGTGACACTTCAGACGGATCAATGAAATTAATCTTTTTTTCTTAACTTTGAAAATTTTGCTAAAATTTCCTAAAAATAATTTTTTTTTCAAACCCAAAGGTTGATACATGCTACTTATTTAATATTTATGAGTCTTTAGACCTATTTATGTTCTTTAAAACAATAAAATTCTTCAGAAAATCAATTTTTGAAAAATATTTCTCCGAACCTAGTCGAATACCTTTAAGTGCTTTTATATCTTGAAATCATCAGAAAATTAAATTAAATTTTAATACGTTTAATTTTTGTTTCCTAAATATTCTTATATAATTATCCGAGTATTATTTTTTCTGAGATAACTACTTCAGAACAAATATTTTATTTTGACTTAATTAATGTCGAGGTCATGAAAGCTTAAGGATTTCCACAAGAAAAAAAAATCGAATGCTAAAAAATTTTTCTAAAAGATCATAATACGATATACTGACTTCATATGCAAAATAATAGCGGAAAATTTCTCATGAGGTAATATGTGGAAGTTAGAGAATTAGAGGTTCATATTATTCTCGGCAATAGATTCTGCCTCAAAAGTACGAGATTCGTTGCCAATAGTCTTCGTAATATTATTAATTGGACATTAATTCAAACTACCCGACCCTATCTGTAACTGATGGTTAACTGATGAGAGATCTAGCAATATATATAAAAACACGGTAAGGAGGTATATCGGAGAAGTGTTATCGTAGAGCAGCGTTTCTCAAACTGTGGGGCGCTCCCCTAGGGTGCGTGATAACCCTCGAGGGGCGAGCATATTGAAAAGTCGAAAACAAAAAATAATTTTTATAAAAAATATTAGTTTACTGAAAAAAGCAAACAAAAACATTCTGAAGTAATAAAAAATAGAATACACATTTACACTGATATAATACACTTATAAATGTATCAGTACTACACGAGAGATGCATTTTATAATTAATTTAACAATACTATTTAAGAACAAGTTTAATAATTACCAGTGACCCCATGGGCTTGTCATATATAAATTTGTATACAAATATTAAAACTTATCTTAATTTATACTATTTATAATTAATTCCTTAACTGCTGATTAAATCGTACGCAATTCGCTCCCCAATGCCAACGCTTACGTAGGCACGTGTATGTGATGTATTGGGGGAGGGGAGAGAAAAGGAATAAAATAAGTAAATCCTCTGAACTAAGTAAATCCTTCGCAAACACTGTCAAGACCCTTTTATTGCATTCCAAAGCATTCGGAATAATTTTATGGATAGCAGTACACAAAAAAAAAAACCGTACATCGAAAAGACGTATATATACATTCGGGAAAATTAATACACTGGCTGAGTGAGACGTTTATACACGCCAGTGACACTTAAGAGGTTAAAGTCTTATCGTAGTTTTAGCGTCAAAGTATAGTATTATTGAATTCAATACATTGTTATAGTATGAAGGGGGGCGCGATGAAAATTATGATTGAATATTGGGTCACAAGTATCGAAAGTTTGAGAAGCACTGTCGTAGAGAGGGAATTATCACTATTAATTTCCACAATACGCCGCATTAGAGCATTAATTTAACGACTGTCCTCTTCAATAATAAATTGCTGCAACTCTACCTTCTAAGTCACACAAAGTCTAGTACCTCTCAGAATCTAATTACTTTACATTTAACCGTAAAAAACTACTTGATTCGTAAACTTTTTGTGTCCCAAAAATTACTGAAGTAGTTGGGATTAAAGAGAAATTTATGCCCTTTTTACCCTTTTCTTAAAATTATAAAATATTTCCACGTGTTCCCACGGTCTCCCTGTCTTTCGCTTTGCGAACTTACAGAGTCAAGCGCACGCTGCTCTGCTTGCACATCTCGGCAGTTTTCGATAACTCTTATTTTTTGAAAGAATGTGGGAAATGTGTCGCTGCGTGTAAGATATTGTTTAAATAATATAAAAAAAAATATTATTTCAATTGATCACCATACCTGCAGGACAAACAAACGGCTCTTTGACATTTGGAACCCTTGTTCCACCGTTAACTTGGTTCTTCTCTCTCGAAAGTCTACCGATCCAAGATCAAAGCAATCTACATATACTAATGCGAATCACAATGATATGTAACAGTACAGTTCATAAAATAATAATCATTTATCGATAAATACGAAAAAGCGTTAAACTGGAAAAGAAATTACAACATAACTTCAATCAAAAAAGTATCTAAAAAGATAAAGCAGAGTACTTATCGTCGCCCGTCCGGTATAGTAATTAGCGACGCTGACTGCTGTGCTGTTGGGACTGGGTTTGAATCTCGGAGGAAAAACACGGGTGTTTGTAATGTATTGGGGCCCTTTACGGCATGGGGGACATTAAAAGCCGTCGAGCCGGGGCCTTCCTGAGGTTGGTGGAAGGGGGGAGGGGAGGCCCCTGGCCACCCCAGGGTGTTCTCCCCCAAATTTAAACCGAGCAAAATCGTTCTGTCACCGAATGGTGCTCAAACCTACGGCTAACGACAGGCGTCACTTAGCCCTTTAACATGATTAATTTCGTGGGCCTTCATCTGGTCTTTGCCGATCTGGTGGCATTTGTAACAACAACAGAGTACTTATCAATTATGTCGTCTTGGTGGCTTAGAGATAGCGTGCCCGCGCTTCCTAAGCCCAAGATTACGGGTTCGACCCTGGCTGATATCGATAGATTTTCTAGATGCGAAAATCGTAGACACGTGTGGCATGTAGAGTACCCATTTAACTCTTGTACTCTCGGCAGAATTAAATCATGGCAATGTTCCGACGAGGGTTTGAATTGATAAATTCATATGCACAATCTGCAAGTGGAAGTCGCCACTAGATGGTACCACCAATGAAATTGCTTCCACTCTTGGGGACTTGCCGTGTCTGCAAATACTTAGTGCTAATATAAAAAAAAATTCTCAAATGAATATCCCAAAATTTCTTGAGAGGTGCAAACCATCATCATACATAGTTTCAACATGCCGACAGCTCTGATATAGAGCTACTTACTTTAAAAGATTTAAATTTCTAACTGTTGTTAAGTATAGAGTTTAAAACTTAAGAAACGCATGTCAATTAAATTAAAATTTAATTAATACATAAAACACAACTGAGCAACAAAAAAAAGTTTTAAACGGGAAGAATGAATCTGGTATGTTAATAACATATTTTCAACATATGGCATCAACCTTGCCAGGTTTAACCCTAATTCTTCTCGGTTCTTTTTCTTTTTTTCTTTATTCTACGGTGGTATTACCATAGTCAAGGCATTCTCAAACCAAGCTTCAAAATCTAAATAAAAGCTACTTAATGTTGAGCGTTGGTTAAAACTTCATTTTTCTAGCAGATTGTCTGTGTCTAATAGAGAAAATTCGTGAAGTCCAATATGATACTTTAGTTTAATTTGGGAAAGAAAGGCTGAAATGATGGTTCTTTTGTTTTAATAAAATTTATGTTGTCACCTTTTGTAATTGTAAATTAACCTTAATAAATTTAGTAAATGTGAATCTATTTAAAAATAGGGGTCTGGTTTTTATTTTATTAAGTTTTTCAAAATTAATTCATGATTGGTTTTAGAGAGTCCCCTCGGGCCTCCATTTACACCTCACG